TCTCGTTTCTCTCCTTCTTTCTCTTTTCCTCTTTCCTTGTCTTTCCCCTAATAGTTATTCTCTTTCTCCCTCTTTCATTCTCTTCTACACCCACTATATAGAACCTGACATACCCTACGGGAGGATGCACGAGCAATACGCGTAACGCATACAACACTCATTGTTCTTGTCGGCTCCCGCACCCGCGACCAGTACCGGAATAGCATGGTATCCCGCGTGCCACCGCGTTAATACCGCACCCTGTGCAACGCATAACGATGGCCCATCTCTGCGTTTCTCCGCCAAAGCGCGCCCGCAACGGAAAATATATAGTCTCTCTAATTCCAGCCTAAACACGGAATTAAACTTCACACATACATGATATTTTATTGTAGATACTCGCGATACTTTACGAACGCAACGTCACAAAGCAGTATAACATGTTGTATTTATAGATAATATTATAGATATGGGAAAAATAATGATTACATTTTTTTATAATTTTTGGTTGATTTTATTTTCGAAGATGTATCAATGTATATATATCAACGTACATAGAAAATACTATTTTCCCTTTTAGTATTATATACATATGTTTTGAATCCAAGATTGCATGCGCGATTTTTATTTTATATCAATAAAATATTTTAAAAATTCTTAATGCAGGGTAATAGAGACGACAAATTTTATAAATTAATATGATAAAATATTATAGATATAATACAAATATTATAACTTTAATGGAGAAGTTCTATAAAAATATTTGATCACAATGGAGAGAATAATAATTATAAAAATTCAGAGATTTAATTAATGAAAATTGTGCGTCAGAAGCATTTAAAATTCATTACTTGTAATATTATTCCATTAGACATATATTCTACGAATTATAATTAGTATCTATATGATAAAATTTTTTTAATTTGATTTATAAAAAAAATATTAAGTTGTATTTTTTTTTATAACAAGGCCCTTCGTAATTTTATTTTTTAAATAATTTTCGTGGCTTTTATTTTTGTGGCATTGCATTAATGAAATTAATCAAAAAAGCTAACCGATTAGGATTAGAATTAGTTTTAATTACACTTAAATGAAAATCGTATTCTTAGTCCGTCTCAAACGATCCTATCCGCAAAGAGGAAACTATCATGCGATGTAATTGCAAGGACGACACAAATTGACGCTGAACCGCAATCGATCTTAATCGAGAGGAAAAGAACATCGATTTGCGGTCTAACGCGGAAAGGATCAAATGGGGAGAATCGAACAGACGAATTACGCGGTGGCCGCAGCGAAGTGTACTCGGGAGATGGTAAGAGGCTCTAGTTGAGGGTGTGCTGGGGTGCAGAGAATAGGAAAAAGGAGGGTGGAAACGAGAGGGAGAAAACATGAAAGAGATACGATCCAACGTCATTCTCATACATTTCTGTCAGCAGAGAACAATCGAGAAATGTCACGAGGTGACACGTGCATAAAGTTGACACATAACACTAGAAATTGCATCGGAATAAATTGTACGGACAACGAAAATGATAAAAAATAAGAAACAATCTCGCAAATGTAATTTCGGTCATAAAGTTACTGCAACATCTCGTCTATTATATAATTTTTAGTTTATTTTTTGATTTGCAATGTGATACAAGCATATTTACTGATTTAATCAGTATGCTTGAGAAACTATAGGTAAACTTCAGTCATATTGACGTAAAAAAAAAATATATATATATATATATAT